TCGTGTCCGGGTGGTTTACACTCCTGACTGTCGTGTCCGGGTAGTTTAGACTCCTGACTGCCGTACGTGGTAGGTACCTGGCGTTCAGTCCCGGATGTGCCCGAATGTTTGACCCAGAAGGTGCCAGTTGGCGGGAGGTCAAGGGGTCTCCATGGTCATACGACGGGACCGTGTCAATGCATTTGATGACACGTACAAGGTGCCTCCGGATGGCTGCAGCCAAACTCTGCTGTCGTAATGGGCGAGTATGGTGTCAAACAGGTCATTCCACAAAGCGTTCGGAATCAACTAAAAAAGAATAGGCCGAGACATTTGCGAAAAACGCCGACGTGACTGGCGCGGCTCAACACAAGCAGCACTCAGAGGCAGCAATGGAAGGTGATAACCTTGTTCTTAGAAAACAACTTTGTTGGTGTGGGACAACCAAATGTCGCCATTTGTCTCAGTCCTCTTGTCGACATAGGACGTCGGATCGCGGCATCTAGATAAGCTCATTGCACGCCCTGTGCAGCATTTGCGGTATATGGTGTTGAACTGTTTTGCCCCTGTCCGACAAGCGCATCCCCGTCCCTGGAGCCAGAACCACTCACAAATACCTGCGGCAAGCGCGTGGTTTCCGTTCGCCGTTGACCGCGCTGGCTCCCGTGACCTACACAAACGTGCCGGCTCCCTCCTCAAGACTTACTGCAAATACATTATGCAATTGAAACGGCTCAGTACTACCTGACTGACGCATGAGGAATTGGTGCAGTTAATCACATCTTAAAAGCCAAAACACAACGCGCGCCACTGATTGTCCATGTTTGCGTGAGGCCATTTCTTTTACGGTACTCCAGCTTTCGACGAGCCAGGACTGCCTGACCGCTTTGCGACCTGACAATATTATTCGCAAGATTGGTGTCCCCTGACACCGCAGAGCAGCGGAAGGCGGCAGGACACGCGGAGGACTGGGGCAGCGGGCGGGCAACTTCTGGCCAGGATCAACTGGTGGACTGATCGGTGGACTGACTGGTGGACTGACTGGTGGATTGCTGGTGGATTACTGGTGGATTGCTGGTGGACTGACTGGTGAACTGACTGGTAAACTGACTCTTGGACTGACCGGTGGACTGACTGGAGGACTGACTGGTGGACTGACTGGTGGACTGACTGGTGAACTGACTGGTACAGTTACGTGGACATAGTCCAGCTGTGTTGAGTCGTCCTCTTTCGATGTCGTGCGGCCGTGAGCAGCAACCAGAACAGCGAGACGGCAGTAACCTACACGGACCCTGGCAGTATGAGCACGCCAGCATGTTAGCTGCCACCAAGCTGCCAGTCGTGCGATTGTGTTCAACCACAATGTCGTCGCTTGTGCTGCTTGTGTTGGACTTTCTCTGACGAACAATACCGTTGAGCTGCAAAACGGCCAGGCAGTGTCGGCTTGTCAAACGCTGGAGTAGCTCGACAAAACAGCCTCTCACAAATACTGATATTCCCAGCTAGAAGAATGTCCTAAACTTAAAGATCGTTCGATCAAAAAGTAAGCATAAAACGATTATATAACGTAATCCATCCTCAGTGCAGTCAAACCTTACTTAAAACGCCTGATGTTTTCCCAGCGTTGAAAAAGCCCAGCAATGATGCATCGGTCAGGCGAATGGCGTTATGGTGATACCCACCGAAAACGACCACAAACAGTCACAAGCACGTCAGGTATTGGTTAAAGGTGGTACTTTTGCGAAAGCTACGCAAAACACCGGTATTAAGTAGAAGTCTGTTTTTACCTGACATATTTGACTGCAATAAACGCCTATGAGATATAGGTTTTGAGCTTAAGACGGTAATAAAGAATTGTTCCTCGTTAAAAAAAAAACAACAACAACAGGGGAACGAAGAGGCAGATGCATTGATTTTTCGGCAACATGCCTTTATCGATGCAAATACTACTTCCGATGTCCATATCAATGAAGGCATGTTGCCGAAACACCAACGCATCTATTTCTCCATTATCCTGGTTTATGCTGCAAAGAATAAGGCTATTATTGCTGTGTTATCTGCATGCATTATGTTTCTCGCAAATGTACTAACAACTTACGTAATTTAGATCTTGAACTTCATGAGCGTTAAAAAGGCAGAACGGAACTTTCGTGTTAGAGTGACGAGGAGGTTGGCACAAAATGTCCGCATTCGCCCGTACAACATGGGATAGGCGCTGCTATTTATTGCATGAAACCCTTTTCCAACGCGATTTGAGGGCCTGTGAACGGCATAATCGAATATGCATGTTCATAGTAGCACAAATGGAAGCTTAACACAATTTGCACTGAGAAGGTATGTGGGCCAGTCAACTGCTTTACATTGACTCTCCCTGTGGCAACACCGCAAAGCTCGAGCGACAGTGAGCCTTGCACCTCCGGATGCCGGGGACCGTCAACCGACGCCGGCACGCAGATCTAAAGCCCAGGGGCCACGGCCCCTTTGAGTCACGCAGCCGGTGCGCGGACGGCACCTCCGGATGCCGGGGACCGTCAACCGACGCCGGCACGCAGATCTAAAGCCCAGGGGCCACGGCCCCTTTGAGTCACGCAGCCGGTGCGCGGACAATGCGTCCGACTGATCCACAAGTTATAAATGGCCAACACCTGTTGAGGGAGATCCTCTTCATATAGGTGGTGTGCAAGTCACCGTGACGTCGTGGATGGCGGCGCTAGCGGCGTAGCCTCCTCGCGCAGCGACGCAAGCGGCAACCACTTGTCACATCTGCCATAAATGAATGCCCACATTATTGGGTAAATTCTCAACTTCCATCAGCGAATTTCCACAATATGGCGGCTAGCAATCTTCATCGCCGAAAATTCTGTATTAACGACCAGCAGATCTTCGAATTAAGCGGGTCTCGAGGGATATGGCTATGTGAGTGCCCTAACCTGATCTCCAATGTGCCGCTCCTGGAAACCCGAGCCTCTGACGGATATTGTCGGGTCCGATAGATAGCAATTCCCAGGAGCTCTGAAAAGAAGATTGATCCGTAAATGCTATATCACGTTTCTTTCTTTCGACCAATACGAAATGGGGTGTTTCACTATGATGACCTACTTGACAGGTCATCATCCCATGCTATCATAGCGTGCAATAGGCCACTCCGGCCGCCATTAGAGCTATTGATATGCTCCCGTTCTTGAGCTCATCTTTGTCAGCGACTCTGAGCTGCCCGACGCCGCGCCACTCAGTGATGGGGCAGCAGGAGTGCCGGCCGCCTCTCTGCCCGCAGCTGCCGGTCCGTCGTCCGTCCGCCATCCGATCAGGAGCGCACTGACACGGGTCCGAGCGAAGACGACCGGAGCCAGCCGCCTTCTCCCCCTGCAGCTGACCTGTACCCGCAGCCAAGCTTTACCCGCAGCCGACCCCCTGCACAGTCGCCCTCTCCCCGCAGCTGACCTGTACCCGCAGCCAAGCTTTCCCCGCAGCCGACCCCCGCACAGTCGCCCTCTCCCCGCAGCTGACCTGTACCCGCAGCCAAGCTTTCCCCGCAGCCGACCCCCGCACAGTCCGCCCTCTCCCCGCAGCCGACCGCCAGCACAGTCGCCCTCTCCCCGCAGCCGACCCCCGCACAGTCGCCCTCTCCCCGCAGCCGACCCCCAGCACAGCCGCCCTCTCCCCGCAGCCGACCCCCGCACAGTCGCCCTCTCCCCGCAGCCGACCCCCGCACACCCGCCCTCTCCCCGCAGCCGACCCCCGCACAGCCGCCCTCCCCCTGCAGCAGTCCCGATCCACTGCACAAACGGTGTCCGCTGATATGACCTGCTCAGGTTTTGGGGACAGCCTAGCCGTGCCATCCCAGGACCAGTGCTGGTCGGGAATGAGGCACGCCCCCGCCCCAGACAGCTGCAGCTGTCGTCGGAGCTGGCCGGCTTCCGCCCCAGATAGCTGCAGCTGTCACCGGAGCTGGCCGGTACGGCGACAGACGCTGCTCGAGAGACGAGCAGCTGCCACCGGATCGATGCCGCACCGAGTCTCCGAGACGGAAATGACGCGATGAGTCGATCCAATAATCCTGCGTGTCGCACGGATCGTGAAGCAAAGACCAAATGACAACTCGGACACGGAGTCGTCGACCAAGTTTACAAGAATATGCTGTCACGAAAAGCTGAGGAGCGCCAGCCGGCCTCCGAGATCGCTGTACCGGCAGCCACGCGCCGAGACTTGGGCCCTCTGAGTTACTCAGCTGGCCCGGCCAGAGCGCTGGTCCCAGGGTCGACCGAGCTGATCCGTCCCAGCAGGCGGGCCCCGTCGCGCAGCGAACATAGCTCTCCCAAATAGGGGAGACCTTCCTAGAGGCACCTTGAGCTCGTTGGCAGTCGGTGGATGCTGTACTGTCGCAGCATGTACCTCGAGATGACGCATCAGCTGAGCAGTAATCAGCTGCTGATGATCACAACCAACGAGTGGTAACGACTCGTATCCCCTAGAACGCTCCATCTGGCAAAGCGCCAAGTCCCAGTCACCGCAGAGTCAACAGCGAGATGATTTCCTTTCTTGGCAGAGTGCTGGAACTGATAGCGTAGAGCTGAGCATGCAATGCTGGAAACGAGGTCACGTCGGGCTGACTGATGGAACTGCAAAGTTGGGAGACACGAGACGAGATGCAGCAGATCAACTCAGGGGTGCCAGTATCATTGGTGCCGCTGGGCAGGGCTGCCTCAGGCCAGTCCACAGAAGGTCAATTATAAGTAACAAGGGAAAATGATATGAAAGTTGGACTCCTTAGCAACGGGAAGACTGCTGGGGCTCAAACAGCTGGTCGGTAGTGGAGCGCTAATGTCCACAGTAAGACCACACAGGGTGCATGAGAGGGAGCTCGATGTCGCCGCGTGACGTGCCGGAACAGCCAGCAGGGGCGAGCTATCAACGAGGCAACATCTGGACCGACAGGCGGGCATAACTGAGTAGCCGAATATACTGCTGCTGATGGAGCCGTCGCCGTGTCGGAGCTCGACCAGCCGTGAAGCATCCATCACCGACAGGTGGGCATAACTGAGTAGCCGAATATACTGCTGCTGATGGAGCCGTCGCCGTGTCGGAGCTCGACCAGCCGTGAAGCATCCATCACCGACAGGTGGGCATAACTGAGTAGCCGAATATACTGCTACTGATGGAGCCGTCGCCGTGTCGGAGCTCGACCAGCCGTGAAGCATCCATCACCGACAGGTGGGCATAACTGAGTAGCCGAATATACTGCTACTGATGGAGCCGTCGCCGTGTCGGAGCTCGACCAGCCGTGAAGCATCCATCACCGACAGGTGGGCATAACTGAGTAGCCGAATATACTGCTACTGTTTATATATTTTCGCTTTCCTTACCCAACGTGCGATGAACAAAGGCTATTTGGTAATATCCAAATACCTTTCGTTTCTTGCCTGGTGCGCACATGAGAGCATCTTCTACCCGCCAAGTATTGATAGGGAACCCAGTTTTCGGCCTGGCTAATCCATTTGGCCGGTATTATTTTTTCATGTTGCAGCGTATGGGTGGTATTGCATGGATGTATCGAATTTTATACTTTGTTCTACAATACATTCGTGTGTCTTAAGGGACTCTGCTAGCAGGATCCTCACTGACCTCGTCTAGGCAAAATGGTTGTGCGTCATCGCCAGCTGTTACCCGCTGGGCAGTTTTGGCCGGGGATGGCTACCTTCGCCCCATCATTATTGCCGGCGTGCTGGCGGGCCAGGAGTCAGCCGCCTGCTGCGCGCATCAGGCGACGCTGCCGGTCCCGGTCCCGGTCCCGGAGCGCGACAGCCGGCCGGCCGTGTTGCCCGCCGGCGGACCGAGCACCGGCTCGACAGCGGCGCTAACGGCCACCGGGCTGGCCGACGCCGACCGCCGCCGCCGCCGCTGCCGTCTCATGATGAAAACATCAGAATTTATGATGGCGTGAACGGCCGAACAAAGGTGCCGGTGATGGATGCTTCACGGCTGGTCGAGCTCCGACACGGCGACGGCTCCATCAGCTGCGTTGATAAGGACTGGGCCGGCACGGGCCCCGGGGCGCAAGGGCAGCCTCCTTCTGCCGCTGCGAGCTGGCGTGTGGCTGAGGCGGGAGGCAGCAGTCTTGGCTGGCGTGCGTCCCACTGACACTGCTTCAGAGTCTGTTTGCATCGATGCGGTTCTGAGCGCCCATCCCCTTTTTGTGTTAGGCATGCTGAGCCCACCGTGTCCCGACCCGATCCCCTGCCTCGTTTCCCGGCAGGCGTGAACCTGCTGCTGAGCAGAACAGCAGCAACGGAATCGCCACTTGAACAGCACCGAACTCTCGCTCGACGGCGACCAGAGTCTCCCCGCCGCTCTCCCCGTCAGCGGCTATTCGCTTGACAGTGACCGGAGTCTCTCAGCCCCTCTCTCCGTCAGCGGCTTCTTGCTCGACAGCGGCCAGAGTCTCTCCGCCGCTCTCCCGGTCAGCGGCCTCTTTCTCGACAGCGGCCAGAGTCTCTCCGCCGCTTTCTCCGTCAGCGGCTTCTCGCTTGACAGCGGCCAGAGTCTCTCCGCCGCTCTCTCCGTCAGCGGCTTCTCGCTTGACAGCGGCCAGAGTCTCTCCGCCGCTCTCTCCGTCAACGGCCTCTTGCTCGACATCGGCCAGAGTCTCTCCGCCGCTCTCTCCGTCAGCGGCTTCTCGCTCGACATCGGCCAGAGTCTCTCCGTCGCTCTCTCCGCCAGCGGCTTCTTGTTCGACAGCAGCCGGAGTCTCCCCGACGCTCTCTCCGTCAACGGCCTCTTGCTCGACATCGGCCAGACTCTCTCCGCCACTCTCTCCGGCAGCGGCTTCTCGCTCGACATCGGCCAGAGTCTCTCAGCCGCTCTCTCCGTCAGCGGCTTCTCGCTCGACAGCGGCCAGAGTCTCTCAGCCGCTCTCTCTCGTCAGCGGCTCACTGTGCCTTCGACAGTACGTGTGCCCACGGACAACAGTTACAGTCGGGGAAGATCTTCGTCCTGCTCCGAACTGTTGAAGCCCTGATCAGCACCTCGAGTAAATTTCTTTCGTACGACATTCAAAGGAGCTATGCCAAAGTTCAGAATCTTTTTGTGGTCAGGTGGGGAGGGGGGGGGGGGGGAGAAGAGCGTTTGAGATGTCTCCAAATATGTGATAGTCCCATCAATGCGTGGGTTTATTTCAATAGTAGGTGTTGCAGGGTCAGGCCCTGCTACATACAATGTGAATGGAAGGGGTAGGTGGTTGGATACGGGTGCACGTCAGTTATGTATGCAACGTGATAAGGCTGCAGCTGGTATATTTCGCCATTGTTGGAAGGTTCAGCCGACACTGCTAACCGTTGGCGGAGTGGCAGGCAGAGAAAGGGAAGCGGCGGCACATTAAACCCACCTCCGACTGTTGTCAATACAAGGAAAAGAACCACAACAATCCCCGAATTTCCCGAGCAGGAATGATCTCCGCGTGGACGATAAATTACCAGAATGCAGATGCACAGACTCCCGCGCCACAGATATTCCCGCGCCAATACTTGCAGCTCACTGACTCTTCGTTCGTCCGTGGTGCTGACAGGTATTCGTGTCCCCAACATTTGCGTAATGGCACAAGGATTTTTTTACGGGTCCTAACACATGGCTCGCAGGACGGTGAGCAGCGTCACTTTCTCGGCTCGCCGCGTTCTCCAACCAATCGCCGTCGCATGGACAGCCGATATAGGTGATGTCACGGTCTGATGGAGCACGACCGGGCGCGCTCGATGCCCGTTTCGTTTCGGCCCTCTCGACAGAGGTCCACGAGTAAACCTGCAGACTGACAGGTGACAGACGAGGGGCCTGCAGTGACTAGAGGTGTCGATTGAGTTCCGAATTTTCGGAATTCCCAAAATGTGGAAAGTTGAATTTGGAAATTGGACGGTTAGGTTAAAAAACCTCTGGAACTTTTTGGACAACCGACATCATTCCATCGTGTCGCAAAGTCATGCCCATCTAAACTTATAAAGTGCCACTCGTTTCAAAAATAATTGGTTCTGGAACATAAACAAGTTGCTGCTAGCGCACATCAGAAAAAGTATCACAAAGAAACCATCGTCGCGTACACCACCACCTATTTCTGATGCTACGGCACTTGTAAATTAAGGCGGAAACGCGAACACCAATTCTCACGACATTTGCAATTCGTCCCAGTTGGTACCAGTTCGGAAGACTTGTTTTACGGCTACCGTCCCTGATGTCGTGTGTTGATCGCGCTAGGTTAATCTGAAGTGCTCACGAAAGCTGTCCACACGAAAGCCTGTGGTGTTCATTATTTAACTACACTAAATGGCTTGTATGTCATTTGACGCGAGTGAGGGAATGTAGCTGAGCAAGTGGTGACTAGGGGCATTGGTGGTAACTTGTAGCTCTTTAATATTTTCAACAAAAAAAAGAAAAAATTGAACGACTCGATTTTGGATGGACCAGAACTTCCAGAAAACGGCACCTCTCACAATGACGTCAGGAAGTGATATGGTAAGCTGCTCGTCGTCCATAACGTACATGTGCCGAGGAACGTTCCAGAAATAAGTTACGATCGATCGCGCCCGGGTGAACATGCTCGTGGAACAATGAACAACGGGAATGCCAAACACCAGGTGCATGGAAAGGAATTAATTCGATCGCACCTCTTCGGAATATTCAATCACACCTGTTCAAGATATTCAATCGCACATTTTCGGGACATGACATGGATCCGCATCCCGCTGGACTCATGATCCATTGGGCCTGAAAGCCTAAAGCCCACAGTGTGAATTCGGACAAACGTTCGTTCTTTGCTGAGGAAGAATAAATCATTTCAAAAAGTAAGACTTTGAGAACTGATCTTAAGGTGATCGCCATGGGCGCAGTTGTCGCAAATACGCATTCATTTTAACATCCCAGGTCTGACATGCTTCGTATCGTTTCAGGGTTTCTCAAGTTTCAGCTAGCTTCTAATCGGAAATGGGAAAGAATCGGTTAGCACTATCACCCTAAAGAAATGTTGGGTGCAAAATGGCCTAAGCCGTCGGTGAGCCCTTAAGCACCAACTAAAAAAAAAATCAGCTCAATATTGACTTAAAAAGCGGGACTGGTTGAAGTTTTTATTTTAACAGCAACAATTTGTTGAATCTGGCACAATGTGTGTGGAATTCATCTTTCCGAGCCCAACATGGTTGTCTTTTAATGCCCTTTTTATGACCATCTAGATCTTTTTTCTTTTTCTCAACAGCCATCTTTCTCCGTGGTACTCGATTGATGAAACGTAACGTGTCATTATTATCTGAGTTGTCAGTAGCATTCACAATCAGATGTTACAGAATATTGTAAAATCGTGTAAGGAATCTTCATGCGGTTGTTATGGTGGAGTCGAAGAAGCATATTTCACTATTCGTCAACAACTGTCTAATCTGTAATGGACACTATCCAATACGCGGTTTGGTTTCCGTCTTGGACGTCAGACCATTGCCGCTTCTTGCACGACTTAGGAGAGTAACTGCCATTATCAGAGTCGTTTACTATCGTTACTGTGTGGAAGGCCATGAACTTCAGTTTCTTGAGCCAGCTTTCTGACTATCCCGTGTAAAAAGGCTATTGGAAAAAAGGCGCACCAACCATTTCATCCAAAAGAGTGTTATATCTAGTTAACGCGTCCGGCTCGACGCCAAATACTATGTAAGTCCATTGACTACCAGAGTAAAGCTTACTTTGAAAGCTGTTTTGATTCACATGAGCTCATTCCATATGTTTGGTTCCAGTTTTCAAGCGCTTCACGAGGCTGGCATACTTCCATATAGTATTCATGCTTGATATATCCCTTGATTATACGCATTTCACGCTTGGCACCACGTTAGGTCCTTGTCGAATATCCTTAGCACAAAAGGGGCACATGCAACTCTGCTCGGAGCCCAGGTCATAGCCGTCGGCCGGGGCCGGGGCCACACCTCAGGACACATTGACCTTGGTGAGAGGCTCGGCCGAAGCCAGCGCTAGAAGCAACCTTGTAACTATCACGGAGGTCACGGCGCCCGTAACAAGGCATAATGTCCTGGACCTGTTAACACCTTAACACATAATGTGATGGCCGGAGAAGACAAGTCAATCTAATCA